AACATACACCTACTAATTTAAAAGTTATAGCATGAAAATATAACAAGCATAAAATGGTTACTAGGTTGGTCCCAGGGACCGAGCCCATGCTGAAAAAGTTAATATCAAGCTTAATATCAGAGTGTTCTTCACAGATAGAAAGATATTTTGTGGTTGACTTTATACATCTCTGTTTACACACAGGGTAAGGTGTTTAAAATATGGAAGAGGTTTTGTAACCTCACTGTGGACTTGAAAATACATAAATGTGTAATTTGAGGGTAAACCTGTCCGAGTAAGTTTAAATTTTGATATATCGCATATAAAAAACTTAATATAACTTTGAATTGAAATATTATATGACTGGATTATATAGGCTGTTACTGGTTTTAATAATTTATTAATCTAATGATTAATTTACTTTGTGTATCTTTATAAAATTTGTCCATCTTTTAGTAAACATGAAAGTACATTCTACACAAAAAATTTTGATTTTTTTAATGCAATATTTTTACTAAAGCACCAGAAAGATGAATTTCATGATGGGAATAAAATACTTATTTTCATTTTACAGTTTTCATATTTCGTTTGCATAACCTTTGGAAAATCCTAAATGAATATCAAAAGTTTATTTTGGTAATATTGTATGTTTTATCTGTAGGTTTCTGTACACAAGCAGAATACTTGATTCTAGGATCTTTACAGACATAATTTAAGTATAATAAAAAGAATGGTTGAAAAATGTCTGCTCAGTTCCATCTTCTTCGACCCTGAGATGTAGTACAATTATTCGTTCACACCCTCAGTCGCTGGAATGTACGTCTAATGACAGAGATTTGACCACTCGACCAAGGGCAGAATCCATGGAGGTCGACAGACCTCCTTCTGGTAAAGAAAAACAGCATGGTTGGAAACAGAAGGGTTCCCTGCCCAGTAGTCCACCTAAGTAAAAATGGGCACTTTGATACAGTGGAACTGTCGAGGTTTTTGTTCTAATCTAGATGACATTAAGGATTTGATCGATTCCTATCATCCCGTGTGTCTTTCCTTACAGGAAACATTCCTGAAACCTGCCGAGACAGTCACCTTTCGGCAGTTTTCTTTATACCGGAATGACAGGTTGTAATGGATGAGTGCATGGAGGGGTGGTACCGCTGGTCAACCAGCATGTGCCCACCTTGTCGGTGTCACTCAATACACACTTGGAGGCAACAGCTATCCATGTTTCCTTGGGTAGTACCATCATCTTTGTTCTCTCTACCTGATGCTCTCATTGACCAGTTGCCATCTCCCTTTCTAATCATGGGAGACTTTAATGGACATAATCCTCTCTGGGGTGGTGCTGATATTGATGGAAGGGATTGTTTTTTAGAGTGTGTGCTTTTGGATCACAACCATTCTCTCTTCAATACTAGTTCTTATATGTATTTTCATGCACCTAGTCAATCTTTTACTGCCACTGACATATCTGTTTGCTCCCCTTCACTTTTCTTGGAGGGTTGACAGTGACCCATGGGGCAGTGATCATTTTCCTATACTTTTGAGGGAGATTGGCCATGGTCAATGCTACCCGACCCAAGTGCCACAGTGAAATTGGACCAGACCAACTGGCTCTTTTTCCACCTCTCTATCAGAATTTGATGCTGCTGTTGTCAGTCTTCCATCTATTAATGACTGCATGGAGGCAGCAACTGATTGCTTCATTCCAGCAACTGTTCATTCTATACCTAAAACCTCGACATGTTTCCCACGGTATCCTAGTCCATGGTGGTCTCCAGCTTGGAAAGGCTCAAAAATGGGTCTGGGATACTTTTTGTAAGTATCGCACTCTTTCCAACTGCATCACTTTCCAGAGGGCCTGTGCCCATGCTCGGCAAGTGAGACGTCAAAACCAAAAGGAATCTTGGATTAAGTTCACAACTAGCATCTCTTATACCGCCAGTTCCAAAGTCATATGGGACAAGATTCGGAAGGTCAATGGGAGGTATTCTTCCCATCCCCTTTCCATCTTGCTTT